CATGGTCAAGTCCCCTTCCTCTGTACATTCCCTTTGAAGAGGATCCCTTACCAAAGGCAGAAACAAGCCCTGGCCCTCTGGAGATTACTTAACCAGAGCTCCAGAGAGGAGAGAAAGGACTCTAATGAAAGTGGGGAAAAGGTCATCAGGGCCCTTATCAAATCTAGTTCCTGGGAGAATGAGGGTCAAATCCACAAGCGTGGGCTCGTGAGAGGCACAGCACCCTGGGGGCAAAAAACGGTGCCCTGTGATTCTATCAGATTGCAGGGAACAGCACAGGGGCTTTGGAGAACTTTAAGGAGGCTCTTAGAAGCAGTCTTAAAAACAAACTGAAAAGAATTAAGTCATTCATCCAGAAAAGCAAACCTCTGCTCTCAGCTGGGCTTGAGAACACACTATGTGTCTCCCATTACTTCCTTAGAAACAAGTATTTCCCGGGTTCTCCTTCCTCCCACCTCCTCCCGTGGCTCCTCTTTCTCTGCCTCCCCCTGGGATATGTTAGGTGGGGCTGGGTGTTTGCAAGGCACTGCTGGGCTGTTCTGCCTAGAGTATCACATTTGGCAGCAATATACACACACACTCCATTTTAGGCCTTAGTTTTCTCTGTCTCTGTCTCTCTGTGTCTGTCTCTCTGTGTCTGTCTGTCTGTCTTTTTATGGCATCCTTCCTGCCAAGAGCAATCCCTAACCCTAATGTCTTCAGGATGGCATGAATTCACTGCAGATCTTCTGACAGATTTGGTGGCTGTCCAGTGGGTCCCCTAAAAATCCTTTGGTGGAGGGAGGCAAATGCCAGGGCAGAAACATTGGCTCTGGTCATCTGCTTCTGTGCAGATGAGCTCTGGGGCACCCAGGATCATAAGTGCCCATCCATCCACCTGGCAACCAGCCTGTGAGTGCTGTCCCCAGGGGACTGTGTCCAGGAAAGCTGAACTGGTGCTGCAGGTGAGTACTTTACCGTAGGACCCCAAAGTCAGAGGGTTTCAGAGAACTCCCAAGTTGTCTCTTTTTATTGAAATTTTATTTATTTGTTACTATTTATTTATTAGTTCTAGTGTGTTTGAAGGGGATGTGCATGCGCACCACAGCGAGTGAGTGGAGGTCAGAGGACAGCTCACAGGATTGGGTTTGCCCTGGGGATCAAACTCAGGTTGTCAGGTTTGGCAGCAAGCACCTGTTAAGTCATCGCCCAGGACCCTAGCTTTCCTCTTTAGAAAATACGGATGGAGCATGGGTTATACAGCGTACAGCCAGGTGTGGGACTTTTAATATCTTTATTTCATGATGCTCCTGCATTCTCTTATATAAAATGGAGACTAAGAAGGCAAAGGTTCCAGCTGACTTATTTCTCTATCTTCCTGGTTCTCCAGAAGTTCACATTCTGATTTTGCATCATAATCACCTGAGTGGTCTCTCAGCGGGCAGTGGCATCCCTCCTGCATTGAGAGGCTGGAACCAGGTCCTCTTGAGGGTCCCCTTGCCTCTCCTTGGTTGACATCAAGGCCAATGTCTTTGGAGCACTGAAAGAGAGAAATAAAGGAGGGGGATAGTCTTGATTTCTGGGCTCCTTCCTCCTTGGGCACCTATTAGACAGGGGATGTCAGGCAGACCTTGTGCTGCTGCTGGACGAGTGCCTGGTCCCAGAGGCTGGCAGGGCTCTGGACTCTGCTGCCAGAGAGGTGAATAGAGGAGGGAGGAAGGGATGATGCCAGGCGCCTGGGCTTGGCAACCATCTCCGGAGGGCATACGGGGATGCCCTCGAGTGTCCAGCGGGCTGGTGAGGTGCCAAAGATGGGCAGATGTGGCTGAGGGCCGCCAGCAGGAGCGCACGCCTGGGAGAGACCTGGGCGCTCAGAAACCTCGGGGGCCGGTAGGGGGCATGGCCAGGGCCGTTTGCAGAGCCTGGGACTGACCCCCAGGGGTCGCTGCGCTATGCGCAGCCCCTGCTCGCCAACGCCGGGAGCCTGGCTGTACCACCGCGCGGTTCCCGCAGGGGGAGCGGCAGCCAGGGCGGCGCCTGGCGGCGGGATCGGGGGACAGCAGCGCGCGGCGGAGCGCAAGCCCTCGCCGGACGGTGACGCAGAGCCCGCAGGCGCTGAGGCTGGAGGCGCCAGTGGCTGTGGCGCGGCGCGACTCCAGAGCCTGCCCGGGACACCCCCGCACCCCGTGGTAGGAACCGGGACCCAAACAAAGGCGGGCGGCAGATAAAAGGCGGCGGCGGCCGCGAGTGCTCTCGGTGCGCGCTGGGGACGCAGTTGTTACTGACCTGCCCGCGGTCTGCACGCCCGGGAGCGAAGCTGGGGGGGACGCTGGGCTCCTGCAGCTCCGAGGACCTTCCCCCCTGAGACTCCCCACAAGGGGCAAATCTTCGCGGCGGGGTGGCCGAAGCCCCCTATTCCCTGCGGCACCGGTGTTTCAGCCTAGCTTAGCTCGGCCAGCGAGGTGAGTGGGACGGCCGCTGGGCGCCATCGGGGCTGGGGATGCGCTGCTCCGGGGAAGGGAAGGGACTAACGCGCCACACGCGCCCGGGCCTGCGCGGGGGGCCGGAGGGGATGGGAGTGCGGAAAGTTCTTCCGCTCTCAAGCCACCCCGGGTGAGGGCCTCGGCGTCCCAGGAAAGCCGGCCGATGAGGACGGAGTTCAGATCTCAGAGCTTGTCCCCGCGCTTCCGAGGCCGGATCCCAGCCTCACATCAAGGCGCTGGGGAGCCGCTGCAGCTTCGGTCTGCCGGAGCGAGTTTAACGTCCAACCTGGATCCCGACCTCCGTACCCCTGCTTGTCCCAGTGGGTGTCTGTCTGGGTCCATAAAAGTTGAGCGTCAGCCTGAAGCCATCCCCAACCCGCTGTCCGCCGGGCTTCAGAGGAGGGAGGGGACAGGAAAAGGTGATCGATGGCCTCTACAGCCACCTCCTACTTGTGAGCACTCACGCGCTCAGCGGGACGTTCTTCGAGTCCTGGGCTGCGGTTAACCCGCTTGCAGGTGCCACTGCGTGAGTTAACCTTTGGAGCTCCGGCAGGCAATGGAAGCCTAGCGCTAGAGGGTCCCTGGCTCGGCCCAGAACGCCAGTGAGGACTGCGATGGGGTGGGCATCTGAGCAGCCGTGTAGCCCAGAGTCAGGGGAAGATTCCCAGCGCTAGTGGCAGCGAGTCCCGAGAGCCAACTCTGCCGCTGGGAGAACTTTTCCCAACTCCCCGGGGGAGACGTCCCCTTAGAGGTTTCCTCTGCTGGACCTTTGTCTGCTCCACAGAGGGTGCCAGCTAACCGCTATGCTTCCTGAGTCTGGGTGTCGGTCCTGGTCTGTCCGCACCCTCGGTCAGTACCGCGGACAGCGCACAGGAGCCTACAGCCCCACACAACACACCAACCACGCACTAACGAAGCACGCGCACACGCTAGGCATAGATCACTCGCGAACACTCCATGAGCAAATTCACACTCCATTCTGAAAAATATACTCCCTTCGTGCCTAATAGGCACACACAACGCACGTACAGACCTAGGATTCACACCCACGTGGACAAGCATCATCTTTCCACAAGCCCCAGTTTGTGGACCAGGATACATCCCACTCCATGCTCTAGCTAGAGCCCAGACTCTGGAGACCACTGCACAGGACTCCCGCTGATGCCTAACGACACACAGGTTGTGGTCTCAGGCTGTGGGGCACAGACACTGGTGTGCATACACACAAACACACAAGCTCAAACAGCCCCTCTCTCCTTCCACTGCAGACCGCCCCGGAATCAGAGTATCTGCCAGAAGGAGTGAAGCAGCTGTTAAGCTCTAAGGAAGCTCCGGGCAGGAGCCCAGCCAGGCAGGCAGGCGCCTCACTGTCTTGGTCTGAAGCTCAGTGTCCATCTCGTACTCTCCACCCCCCGTGCCCACTCAAGCCTCTTCCTGGCATATCTTCTCCCTCCAGGGTCTGCAGCCTTTGCTCGTGTCTTTGTTCGCTCCTCTGCTCCTTCCCAGGGTTATCTTTCAAATGTACACCCTTTGGTCTTTCCTGTCCATCATCCCTCCATTCCTTTTCTGACTTTCCTTCACTTGAGTCTGACCCAGTCTGCACTCTGATACCCATGCTGTCACAGGTACCCAGTGCTCCCCTGGACAGTCTCCCTCCATAGCCTCCACTTCAGGCTTTCCACCGTGAAAGGGCAGCGCCGCCCACAGGATCCCTTTTTGGACTTGATTATGAAGAACACTGGCTCTCGAGAGAGTGACTTGACTTGGGTGGGATTGAAAATCATGGTTGTAACTCCCAGTGGTTACAGTGCCTCCCCACTTCCTCAGAACTCCTCACTGCTGCTAAAGTCACCCTGCTCCTGAGCGAGGAATACCCAATTGATTTTCTTAATAGGACCAGAGATGCCAAGTAATTTTCTTAAGGTCTCACTGCTCGGGTCTAGTCTCCATGGAGGCAGGCTGGTATGGTTGTCTGTGTATCCACTGCATCAAGCCATGAAGGTCCAAGACTTTTTTTTTTTTTTCTGGTAGCAAGGACTTCCCTGACTACCCAGCATACCTGGCTAGTCAAAGACAGATGGGTGGCTGGGTTGAAATCCTTGTCTCCAGACACGTGACCTCACAGAAGGGACTGGCCAAGATATCTCACTAGTCACTATTATCTTGACTGCCAGCCTCAAGCCTCTAGGACTCAACCAAGCAGCCTGCTCATGGGCAGTCAGGTCTGTGCAGGGAGGGGGGGCAGGCCTCAGCACTGTTTGTCTACGCTGTTTCTCACAGCCTTTTGACTGCAAAGTGTGGTGCCGAGAGACAGGGTGGACGCCCTTAGGGAACCACCCATCTACCATTGGTTGTAAATATAGGCACCCCAAAATGATGGCCGTGGCGATGTCATGAAAGCTAATAGTAATAGTCTTAGTATTGATAACTGACAGCAACAGAATCTTAATTGGGAGCTCAGTGATTAGTTCTCTGGTCCCCTTCTCCCCTCTTTGAAATTATTTCCTCACCTGTACCCCTCTCTGTTCCCTTTCCTGCACGCTCAGGTGTGGGCAGTGAGAGTCACTGCCCCTTGTCCTAGCCGAGGGAGGGGCTTGTCATTGGAAACCCTCTCTCTCACTTACCCCCCCCCCCACTGGAGCCTGTTTCTGCCCATGGAGCAGGAGAGGCTTCAAAGTCTGTCAAAACACCCTCCAAAGCTAGATTCCAAAGCACCAATATCCCGGGGAAAATAAATAAAGAGAGCAGTGTCAGCCCGAAATAGAAACACGCACCCAGTCACAAATATGCATGTTTTCCATGAGTCGAATTTCACGGGCAGACAGTGCAGCATGCGCTCCAGCTGCTCAACAAAGGCCAGAGGCAGAGATGCTGCTGGTACCAGTCCAGGGAAGCCAGCAGAAGCAGAGAGCTTGCTCCCCACATTAAGAGACCACAGGGCCACACTCCTGGCTGCCCTGACTGGAAGGTGTCAGAAGGTGAATGGCAGCTAATATGTTCCTGTGGGCTAGTCACCTGTTCTTCGGGAAGGGACCTGCAAGGCCGATGGCCTCAGGTCCCCTGCTTACAAGGAGAGGCTGGCAATGGCAGATCCCATAACAGCAGCTGCCAGTGGTTGGATGCCTGCCCTGTGCCAGGCACTAAATACATACACATGCAATCATATTTAAGCTTTGAGATCTTCTCATGGCATGGGGGTTGCTATCCTTAAGGAATCCACGGGAAAAACAGGGCTCCAAGAAGTAAAGAGACTAGTCTGAAGCCACACAACCTGAAGAGTCCAAGTTGGGACTGAATTTTTGTTTGCTTGTTTTGTTTTTCACGGCAGAGTTTCTCTGTGTATCTCTGGCTGTCCTGGAATGCCCTCTGTAGACCAGGCTGGGCTCGAACTTACAGAGCTCCTCCTGTCTCTGTCTCCTGAGTGCTGGGATTAAAGGTGTGCACCACCACACCAGGCAGGACTGAATTTTTATTTGCATGAAAC